GGGACCTTGCGGGCGCTGCAGGATTTCAGTCCTTCACGGCGTAGTGTGTTACCAATTGTCCCAGCTGCCTTGAGATCATTGACAAGATCCTCCCGTGTAGTTCTGGGCTGATTCCTCACCGTTCTCATGATCATTGCAACTCCACGAGGTGAGATCTTGCATGGAGCCCCAGGCCGAGGGAGATTGACAGTTCTTTTGTGTTTCTTCCATTTGCGAATAATCGCACCAACTGTTGTCACCTTCTCACCAAGCTGCTTGGCAATGGTCTTGTAGCCCATTCCAGCCTTGTGTAGGCCTACAATCTTGTCTCTGACATCCTTGGAGAGCTCTTTGGTCTTGGCCATGGTGGAGAGTTTGGAATCTGATTGATTGCTTCTGTGGACAGGTGTCTTTTATACAGGTAACAAGCTGAGATTAGGAGCACTCCCTTTAAGAGTGTGCTCCTAATCTCAGCTCGTTACCTGTATAAAAGACACCTGGGAGCCAGAAATCTTTCTGATTGAGAGGGGGTCAAATACTGATTTCCCTCATTAAAATGCAAATCAATTATTAACATTTTTGACACGCGTTTTTCTGGATTTTTGTTGTTGTTATTCTGTCTCTCACTGTTCAAATAAACCTACCATTAAAATTATAGACTGATCATTTCTTTGTCAGTGGGCAAACGTACAAAATCAGCAGGGATCAAATACATTTCTCCCTCACTGTATACACTACTATACACTATACTATAATAAACTACACTATACTATAATAAACTACACTATACACTGCACTATACACTACAATAGTAACTAATTGGCGCGTTGTTTACGTGACAAACCTTACTGGCAGTCGGGTGGTGGAGGGATACAACACAACATTCATACTTACAGCGATCCAACCCAAACACCTTGATTATAAAAATGTGTAATGACAGGGGAGTCAGCCTGGGGTGCGAGTGGACTAGTGGTCACGGGAGGTAATGACAGGGGGAGTCAGCTGTGAGTGTGAGTGGACTGGTGGCCACGGGAGGTAGTGACAGGGGAGTCAGTCTGCAGTGTGAGTGGACTGGTGGCTACAGGAGGTGATGACAGGGGAGTCAGCCTGGGGTGCGAGTGGACTGGTGGCCACGAGAGGTAATGACAGCGGGAGTCAGCTGTGAGTGTGAAGGGACTGGTGGTCACGGGAGGTAGTGACAGGGGGAGTCAGTCTGCAGTGTGAGTGGACTGGTGGCCACGGGAGGTAATGACAGGGGAATCAGTCTGCAGTGTGAGTGTACTAGTGGCCACGGGAGGTAATGACAGGTGAGTCAGTCTGCAGTGTGAGTGGACTGGTGGTCACGGGAGGTAATGACAGGGGAGTCAGCTGTGAGTGTGAAGGGACTGGTGGCCACGGGAGGTAATGACAGGGGAGTCAGCCTGCAGTGTGAGTGGACGAGTGGCTATGGGAAGTAATGACAGGGGAGTCAGCCTGCGGTGTGAGTGGACGAGTGGCCACGGGAGGTAATGACAGGGGAGTCAGTCTGCAGTGTGAGTGGACTAGTGGCCACTGGAGGTAATGACAGGTGAGTCAGCCTGCAGTGTGAGTGGACTGGTGGTCACGGGAGGTAATGACAGGGGGAGTCAGTTGTGAGTGTGAAGGGACTAGTGGTCACGGGAGGTGATGACAGGCGAGTCAGTCTGCAGTGTGAGTGGACTGGTGGTCACGGGAGGTAATGACAGGGGGAGTCAGCTGTGAGTGTGAGTGGACTAGTGGCCACGGGAGGTAATGACAGGGGAGTCAGCTGTAAGTGTGAGTGGACTAGTGGCCACGGGAGGTAATGACAGGGGGAGTCAGTCTGCAGTGTGAGTGGACTGGTGGCCACGGGAGGTAATGACAGGGGAATCAGTCTGCAGTGTGAGTGTACTAGTGGCCACGGGAGGTAATGACAGGTGAGTCAGTCTGCAGTGTGAGTGGACTGGTGGTCACGGGAGGTAATGACAGGGGGAGTCAGTTGTGAGTGTGAAGGGACTGGTGGCCACGGGAGGTAATGACAGGGGAGTCAGTCCTCAGTGTGAGTGGACTAGTGGCCACGGGAGGTAATGACAGGGGAGTCAGTTGTGAGTGTGAAGGGACTGGTGGTCACGGGAGGTAGTGACAGGGGAGTCAGCCTGGGGTGCGAGTGGACTGGTGGTCACGGGAGGTGATGACAGGCGAGTCAGTCTGCAGTGTGAGTGGACTGGTGGTCACGGGAGGTAATGACAGGGGGAGTCAGCTGTGAGTGTGAGTGGACTAGTGGCCACGGGAGGTAATGACAGGGGAGTCAGCTGTAAGTGTGAGTGGACTAGTGGCCACGGGAGGTAATGACAGGGGGAGTCAGTCTGCAGTGTGAGTGGACTGGTGGCCATGGGAGGTAATGACAGGGGAGTCAGTCTGCAGTGTGAGTGGACTGGTGGCCACGGGAGGTAATGACAGGGGAGTCAGTCTGCAGTGCGAGTGGACTGGTGGCCACGGGAGGTAATGACAGGGGGGGTCAGTCTGCAGTGTCAGTGGACTAGTGGTCACGGGAGGTAGTGACAGGGGAGTCAGTTGTGAGTGTGAAGGGACTGGTGGTCACGGGAGGTAGTGACAGGGGAGTCAGCCTGGGGTGCGAGTGGACTGGTGGCCACGGGAGGTGATGACAGGTGGAGTCAGCCTGCAGTGTGAGTGGACTGGTGGTCACGGGAGGTAATGACAGGGGGAGTCAGCTGTGAGTGGACTGGTGGCCACGGGAGGTAATGACAGCGGGAGTCAGCTGTGAGTGTGAAGGGACTGGTGGTCACGGGAGGTAATGACAGGCGAGTCAGCTTGCAGTGTGAGTGGACTAGTGGCCACGGGAGGTAATGACAGCAGGAGTCAGTCTGCAGTGTGAGTGGACTGGTGGCCACGGGAGGTGATGACAGGCGAGTCAGCTTGCAGTGTGAGTGGACTAGTGGCCACGGGAGGTGATGACAGGGGAGTCAGCTGTGAGTGTGAAGGGACTGGTGGCCATGGGAGGTAATGACAGGGGGAGTCAGCTGTGAGTGTGAAGGGACTGGTGGTCACGGGAGGTAATGACAGGGGAGTCAGCTTGCAGTGCGAGTGTACTAGTGGCCATGGGAGGTGATGACAGGGGAGTCAGCTGTGAGTATGAAGGGACTGGTGGCCACGGGAGGTAATGACAGGGGAGTCAGTCTGCAGTGTGAGTGGACTGGTGGCCACGGGAGGTAATGACAGGGGAGTCAGTCTGCAGTGTGAGTGGACTAGTGGCCACGGGAGGTAATGACAGGGGGAGTCAGTCTGCGGTGCGAGTGGACTGGTGGCCACGGGAGGTAATGACAGGGGAGTCAGTCTGCGGTGTGAGTGGACTGGTGGCCACGGGGGGTAATGACAGGGGAGTCAGTCTGCGGTGCGAGTGGACTGGTGGCCACGGGAGGTAATGACAGGGGGAGTCAGCCTGCGGTGCGAGTGGACTGGTGGCCACGGGAATGACCGACAATGGGAGCGTGTTCAGGTGACGGAAGTGGACGGTGGAGTCTGCCGGTGCAGCGAGCGTCCAGATCCAGCCAGAAGGTTCCGGAAGCGGATGGGGGGGGTGGGTAAGTGGGTGGGGTGGTGGTCGTGGCCTCGATCCGTCAATACAGGTGGACCGCTCGCCGCTCACAAGCCCCCCCCCAGGGAAACCCCCCCCAATTTGCCCGCCGGATGGTCGGCTCGGTAAAGCAAAGCACGACAGGAGAGATTTTTTGACGGCTTTAATAATATCAGGGAGCACGCGGACGCGCACAACACAAAGACAAAGGTCCCCCGTGTAGCCTCAACAGACTGTAGGGGCAAGTGCTGTTAGTAGCGAGTAGCAGCAGCAGCAGCTATGAAGGCTACCGGGCGGTGTGGTACACACGAGGGGGTGGGTGGACAGCACCGCCACGCCCGGCCGCCTTTGTCTCCCCCAGTGCTAGCGATGTTCACTGCACACCACGACACCAGGTGCTCATTTGAGGCTGAGTCGACCTAGGAGAGGCCCAGGACCGGTTTGGATGATCGTCACTGGTGTTGGTGGTGTTGGCCGTGAGCGTCCGGGTTCGTAGCGCAGCGTGGCGCTAACCACTACACCCACCACTCCCTACACAGACACTCACACTCACATTATCAAAAAACACTCACACACACATTCACTCACGTACACTCACCCACTCGCACAAATACACACCGACACATTATCACTCACCCACAGACACACTCATTCACTCACTCACACTCACTCACACACTCACACACGCACATTCACTCACTGAGACTCACCCACTCACACAAATACACACCGACACATTATCACTCACCCACACACACACACTCATTCACTCACTCACACTCACACACTCACACACGCACACACGCACATTCACTCACTGAGACTCACCCACTGACACAAATACACACCGACACATTATCACTCACCCACAGGCACACACAGTCACACTCATTCACTCACTCACACTCACTCACTCACAGACTCACTAACTCACTCACACACACTCACACACACACACCCATTCACTCACTCACTCACTCATAGACTCACTCACACTCACTCACTCACACTCACTCACAGACACACTCATTCACTCACACACTCACACACACTCACACACTCACACACACTCACTCACTCACTCACACACTCACTCACTCACACACTCAAACACTCACACACTCACTCACTCACCCACCCACTCACTCACCCACTCACTCACACTCACTCACTCACCACCCATTCACCCACCCACTCACCCACCCACTCACTCACCCACTCACCCACTCACTCACACACTCACACACTCACTCACTCACCCACTCACTCACTCACCCACTCACCCACTCACCCACTCACCCACCCACCCACTCACTCACTCTCTCAACGTGTCCATCTCTCCCTCATCACGAATCTACCTTCTCCACTGCTGGACCGCCACCACCACCACCACCACCACCGCCACCACCGCCACCACCACCACCGCCACCACCACCACCACCGCCACCACCGCCACCACCACCCACAACAACCTCATCCGGCTGCTGTTGCATCTTGGGAAACTCCTAGCGCTCGAGCTTGTGATCCTTCAGCGCCAGCAGCTGACTGATCTCCGCTGGGTCTGAGAACACGGCGGGTGGCACGTGCTGTGATTGGCGTGACGGGGGTCGGGTGGTGGGGTGGTGGAGGGGTGTGACGACACACAAGACAAAGGTAAAGATGCACCCTCACCCACACCGTCACCTCACCCCAGGTAGCCTCCGCGGGGTGATCGGGGGCAAGTGCCGGACCTGATGGATGGGTAACAGCTGGCACTAGGGGGGATGGATTGCTGCTGCTGCTGCTGCTGTTGTTGTGTGGGTCTAGGGCCTAGGGGCACCCCCAGTGTCAGCTGTCTCTGTGTGTCAGGCTGTAGTAGGGGTAGCGATGATTGGTGCTGCTGCTGTGTGGGTCTAGAGCCTAGGGGCACCCCCAGTGACAAGCTGTCTCTGTGTGTGTCAGTCTGCTGGTAGTAGTAGGGGTAGCGATGAATGTGGTTGCTGCTGTGTGGGTCTATAGCCTAGGGGCACCCCCAGTGACAGCTGTCTCTGTGTGTCAGCCTGGTAGTAGTAGGGGTAGCGATGATTCTGCTGCTGTTGTGTGGGTCTATAGCCTAGGGGCACCCCCAGTGACAGCTGTCTCTGTGTGTGTTAGTCTGCTGGTAGTAGTAGGGGTAGCGATGATTGTGCTGCTGTGGGTCTATAGCCTAGGGGCACCCCAGTGACAGCTGTCTCTGTGTGTGTCAGCCTGCTGGTAGTAGTAGGGGTAGCGATGATTCTGCTGCTGTTGTGTGGGTCTATAGCCTAGGGGCACCCCCAGTGACAGCTGTCTCTGTGTGTCAGCCTGCTGGTAGTAGTAGGGGTAGCGATGATTGGTGCTGTGTGGGTGTCTATAGCCTAGGGGCACCCCCAGTGACAGCTGTCTCTGTGTGTGTCAGCCTGCTGGCAGTAGTAGGGGTAGCGATGATTGATGCTGTGTGTGGGTCTATAGCCTAGGGGCACCCCCAGTGACAGCTGTCTCTGTGTGTGTCAGTCTGCTGGTAGTAGTAGGGGTAGCGATGATTGGTGCTGCTGTGTGGGTCTATAGCCTAGGGGCACCCCCAGTGACAGCTGTCTCTGTAGCGTCAGCCTGCTGGTAGTAGTAGGGGTAGCGATGATTCTGCTGCTGTGTGGGTCTAGAGCTTAGGGGCACCCCCAGTGTCAGCTGTCTCTGCAGCGTCAGCCTGCTGGTAGTAGTAGGGGTAGCGATGATTGGTACTGTGTGTGTGGGTCTATAGCCTAGGGGCACCCCCAGTGACAGCTGTCTCTGTGTGTCAGCCTGCTGGCAGTAGTAGGGTTAGCGATGATTGCTGCCTGCTGTGTGGGTCTATAGCCTAGGGGCACCCCCAGTGACAGCTGTCTCTGTGTGTCAGCCTGCTGGTAGTAGTAGGGGTAGCGATGATTGCTGCTGCTGTGTGAGTCTAGAGCCTAGGGGCACCCCCAGTGTCAGCTGTCTCTGTGTGTCAGTCTGCTGGTAGTAGTAGGGGTAGCGATGATTGGTACTGTGTGTGTGGGTCTATAGCCTAGGGGCACCCCCAGTGACAGCTGTCTCTGTGTGTCAGTCTGCTGGTAGTAGTAGGGTAGCGATGATTGGTACTGTGTGTGTGTGTCTATAGCCTAGGGGCACCCCAGTGACAGCTGTCTCTGTGTGTCAGCCTGCTAGTAGTAGGGGGTAGCGATGATTGGTGCTGCTGTGTGGGTCTATAGCCTAGGGGCACCCCCAGTGACAGCTGTCTCTGTAGCGTCAGCCTGCTGGTAGTAGTAGGGGTAGCGATGATTGGTGCTGCTGTGTGGGTCTATAGCCTAGGGGCACCCCCAGTGACAGCTGTCTCTGTGTGTCAGCTGCTGGCAGTAGTAGGGGTAGCGATGATTGCTGCTGCTGCTGTGTGGGTCTATAGCCTAGGGGCACCCCCAGTGTCAGCTGTCTCTGTGTGTGTCAGCCTGCTGGTAGTAGTAGGGGTAGCGATGATTCTGCTGCTGCTGTGTGGGTCTATAGCCTAGGGGCACCCCCAGTGTCAGCTGTCTCTGTGTGTGTCAGCCTGCTGGTAGTAGTAGGGGTAGCGATGATTGCTGCTGCTGTGTGGGTCTATAGCCTAGGGGCACCCCCAGTGTCAGCTGTCTCTGTGTGTCAGTCTGCTGGCAGTAGTAGGGGTAGCGATGATTGCTGCTGCTGTGTGTCTATAGCCTAGGGGCACCCCCAGTGTCAGCTGTCTCTGTGTGTGTCAGCCTGCTGGTAGTAGTAGGGGTAGCGATGATTCTGCTGCTGCTGTGTGGGTCTATAGCCTAGGGGCACCCCCAGTGTCAGCTGTCTCTGTGTGTGTCAGCCTGCTGGTAGTAGTAGGGTAGCGATGATTGCTGCTGCTGTGTGGGTCTATAGCCTAGGGGCACCCCCAGTGTCAGCTGTCTCTGTGTGTCAGTCTGCTGGCAGTAGTAGGGGTAGCGATGATTGCTGCTGCTGTGTGAGTCTATAGCCTAGGGGCACCCCCAGTGTCAGCTGTCTCTGTGTGTCAGCCTGCTGGTAGTAGTAGGGGGTAGCGATGATTGGTGCTGCTGTGTGGGTCTATAGCCTAGGGCACCCCAGTGACAGCTGTCTCTGTGTGTCAGCCTGCTGGCAGTAGTAGGGGTAGCGATGATTGGTGCTGCTGTGTGTGTCTAGAGCCTAGGGTCACCCCAGTGACAGCTGTCTCTGTGTGTCAGCCTGCTGGTAGTAGTAGGGGTAGCGATGATTGCTGCTGTGTGGGTCTATAGCCTAGGGGCACCCCCAGTGACAGCTGTCTCTGTGAGTCAGCCTGCTGGCACGTAGTAGGGTTAGCGATGATTGGTACTGTGTGTGTGGGTCTATAGCCTAGGGGCACCCCCAGTGACAGCTGTCTCTGTGTGTCCGTGTCTCTCTCTCACCTGTAGTTCCGAGACCCAAGTCTCTCTGCTGGAGTATTCACGAAGTAAATAGTCTGTGCCAGTCTGTACCACACACACACACACAGACACACACAGACATACACACACACAGACACAGACACACATACACAGACACACACACAGACACACACACACACACAGACACACACACACACAGACACACATACACAGACACACACACACAGACACACATACACAGACACACACACAGACACACACACAGACACAGACACACACACACAGACACACACACACAGACACACACACACAGACACACACACAGACACACACAGACACACACAGACACACACACACAGACACACACACAGACATACACACACAGACACAGACACACACACACACAGACACACAGACACACACACAGACACACACAGACACACACAGACACACACACAAGAGACAAAGATCCACCGTGTGAGAGAGTGAGTGTGAGTGAGTGTGAGAGTGTGAGTGAGTGTGAGTGAGAGGAGTGTGAATGTGAGGATGTGTGAATGTGAGTGAATGAGTGTGAGTGTGAGAGAGTGAGTGTGATAGAGTGTGAGAGAGTGTGAGTGAATGAGTGACTGTGAGTGAGTGTGAGTGAGAGTGTTTGTGAGTGAGTGTGAGTGAGTTGTGAGTGAGTGAGTGTGAGTGAGAGAGTGAGTGTGAGTGTTTGTGAGTGAGTGTGAGTGTTTGTGAGTGAGTGAGAGTGTGAGTGAGTGAGTGTGAGTGTGAGTGAGTGTGAGTGAGTGTGAGTGAGAGTGTTTGTGAGTGTGAGTGAGTGTGAGTGAGTGTGAGTGAGAGAGTGAGTGTGAGTGTTTGTGAGTGAGTGAGAGTGTGAGTGAGTGAGAGTGTGAGTGAGAGTGAGTGAGAGTGTGAGTGAGAGTGTGTATGTATATGTATGTGAGTGTGTGTGAGTGTATGTATGTGTGTATGTATGTGTATGTGTGAGTGACTCTATGTATGTGTGTATGTACGTGTGTGTGTATGTATGTGTGAGTGACTGTATCTATGTGTATATGTATGTGTGTGTATGTGTGTGTGAGTGAGTGTGTATGTATATGTATGTGTGAGTGACTGTATGTGTGTATGTATGTGTGTGTATGTGTGTAGGTATGTTTGTATGTGTGTGTGACTGAGTGTGTATGTATGTGTATGTGAGTGTGTGTGAGTGTATGTATGTGTGTATGTATGTGTGAGTGACTGTATGTGTGTATGTATGTATATATGTGTATGTGAGTGTGTATGTGTGTATGTATGTGTATGTGTGTGTGTATGTAGATGTACGTATGTGTATATGTGTGTGAGTGTGTGAGTGTGTGACTGAGTATGGATGTGTGTGAGTGAGTCTTGATGTATATATGTATGTGTGTGAGTGTGTGTATGTATATGTATGTATATGTATGTGTGTGTATGTATGTGTGTGAGTGTGTGAGGAGTGTGTGTATGTATGTGTATGCATGTGTATGTGAGTGTGTGACTGACTGTGTATGTGTGAGTGTGTGTGTGTATATGTGTGAGTGTGTGTGGATATGTATATGTGTATGTATATATGAGTGTGTGTGAGTGTGTGACTGAGTGTGTGTATGTATGTGTATGTATGTGTATATATATGTATGTGTGTATGTGTGACTGTATGCATGTGAGTGTATGTATGATTGTATGTGTGTATGTATATATGTATGTGTGTGTATGTATATGTGTATATGTATGTATATGTAGGTATATGTATGTGTGCGAGTGTGTGACTGTATGTGAGTGTATGTATGACTGTATATGTGTATGTATATGTATGTGTGTGTATGTATATGTGTATATGTGTATGTGTGTGTATGTATGTATATATGTGTGTGTATGTATGTGTGTGTATGTATATATGTATATGTATGTGTATATGTATATGTATGTATATATGTGTATATATGAGTGTGTGTGTGTGTGAGTGTGTGTGTATATGTATGTGTGTGAGTGTGTGTGTGAGTGTGTGTGTGACTGAGTGTGTGTATGTATATATATGAGTGTGTGTATGTATATACATGTGTGTGAGTGTGTGTATGTATGTGTATGTATATATTTATCGTAAGGTGTGTATGTATATCTGTATATATGTGTGAGTGTGTGTATGTATATATGTGTATATGTATATATATATATGTGAGTGTGTGTATGTATCTATGTATATGAGTGTGTGTGTGTATGTGTATATATATGTGTATATGTGTGTATGTATATATATGAGTGTGTGTGTATGTATATATGTATGTAAGTGTGTGTATGTATATATGTATATATATGTGTGAGTGTGTGTATGTATATATGTGTATATGTATATATATGTGTGAGTGTGTGTATGTATGTATATATGAGTGTGTGTGTTTGTGTGTATGTATATATATGTGTATGTATATATGTGTGTATGTATATATATGAGTGTGTGTATGTATATATGTATGTATGTGTGAGTGTGTGTATGTATATATGTATATATGTATGTGTGAGTGTGTGTATGTATGTATGTATATGTTAGTGTATGTATATATGTGTGTATGTATATATGTATATGAGTGTGTGTGTGTTTGTGTGTATGTGTATATATGTGTATGTATATATGTGTGTATGTATATATATGAGTGTGTGTGTATGTATATATGTATGTGAGTGTGTGTATGTATATATGTGTGTATGTGTGTGAGTGTGTGTATATATGTGTATATGTATGTATATATGTATGTGAGTGTGTGAGTGTGTGTATATATGTATGTGTGAGTGTGAGTGTATATATGTATATGTGTATATATATGTATGTGTGTGTTTGTGTGTATGTGTATATATGTGTATGTATATATGTGTATATATGTATATATGTGTATGTGTGTGTATGTGTATATATGTATATATATGTATGTGTATATATGTATATGTATATATGTATGTGTATGTGTATATATGTATGTGTGTATGTGTTTGTGTGTGTATATGTATATATATATGTATGTGTATATGTATATAATGTATATGTATATATAGTGTGTGAGTGTGTGTATATATATGTGTGGTGTAGTGTTTGTGTGTGTATATATATATATGTATGTGTGTGTATGTGTTGTTGTGTGTATATGTATATGTATATATGTGTATCTATATCTATATATGTGTATATGTATGTGTATATGTATATATATGTGTATATGTATGTGTTATGTATATATATATGTATATATGTATGTGTATGTGTGTATGTGTATATATATGTGTGTATGTGTTTGTGGTATGTTATATATGTGTATGTATATATGTGTGTGTATCTATCTATGTATGTGTATCTATATATGTGTGTGTATGTGTATATGTGTGTATATGTATATATGTATATGTGTGTATATATATATATACTCTACATGTATATGTGTGTATATGTGTATATCTATGTGTATATATATGTGTATATGTGGTGTGTGTTTGTGTGTGCCTGGTGGTAGAGCCGCGTCTCGTTGCTCCGCAAGAGAACTCCGTCCACACGCAGGAAGTAGCGGAGCAGCAGGAAGAGGAAGGAAGGCATCACCCTCTAGACAGATACATCATCATTACACCTCATCATCTACATCACCCTCTAGTCAGATACATCATCACACACCTCATCACACCTCATCACACACCTCATCATCATCATCTACATCATCATCATCATCTACATCATCATCATCATCTACATCATCATCACACACCTCATCATCATCATCTACATCACCCTCTAGACACATCATCATCACACACCTCATCATCATCATCATCACCTCTAGTCAGATACATCATCATTACACATCATCATCATCATCACACATCATCATCATCATCTACAGCATCACCCTCTAGACACATCATCACACCTCATCATCATCATCATCACCCTCTAGACACATCATCATCATCACACACCTCATCATCATCATCATCACCCTCTAGTCAGATACATCATCATTACACATCATCATCATCATCACACATCATCATCATCATCATCTACAGCATCACCCTCTAGACACATCATCACACCTCATCATCATCATCTACAGCATCACCCTCTAGTCACACATCATCACACCTCATCATCACACCTCATCACACACCTCATCACACACCTCATCATCATCATCTACATCATCATCACACACCTCATCATCATCACCCTCTAGTCAGATACATCATCACCACACATCATCACACCTCATCATCATCATCATCACCCTCTAGACACATTATCATCATCATCACCCTCTAGTCAGATACATCATCATTACACATCATCACACCTCATCATCTACATCACACCTCATCATCATCTACATCATCATCATCATCTACAGCATCATCACCTCTAGACACATCATCATTACACATCATCACACCTCATCATCATCATCACCCTCTAGTCAGATACATCATCATTACACATCATCACACCTCATCATCATCATCATCACCCTCTAGTCAGATACATCATCACACCTCATCACACACCTCATCATCATCATCATCTACATCATCATCATCACCCTCTAGTCAGATACATCATCATCATCACACCTCATCATCATCATCATCTACAGCATCACCCTCTAGTCAGATACATCATCATTACACATCATCACACCTCATCATCATCATCATCATCACCCTCTAGTCAGATACATCATCATTACACATCATCACACCTCATCATCTACATCACCCTCTAGACACATCATCACACACCTCATCACACATCATCATCACACCATCATCATCATCCACACATATCATCTACAGCATCACCCTCTAGACACATCATCACACACCTCATCACACACCTCATCACAACCTCATCATCATCACACCTCATCATCATCATCATCTACAGCATCACCCTCTAGACAGATACATCATCATTACACCTCATCATCACACACCTCATCATCATCATCTACCTCATCATCATCATCACACCTCATCATCTACATCACCCTCTAGTCACACATCATCATCATTACACACTCATCACACCTCATCATCTACAGCATCACCCTCTAGTCACATCATCATCACACCTCATCACACACCTCATCATCTACAGCATCATCACCCTCTAGACACATCATCATCATTACACACCTCATCACACTCATCATCATCATCTACATCATCATCACCCTCTAGACACATCATCATCATTACACACCTCATCACCTCATCATCATCATCTACATCATCATCACCCTCTAGACACATCATCATTACACCTCATCACCCTCATCATCATCTACCTCATCATCACCCTCTAGACACACATCATCATCACACCTCATCATCACCCTCTAGACAGATCATCACACACCTCATCACACCTCATCATCATCATCATCACACACCTCATCACACACCTCATCACACACCTCATCATCATCATCTACATCACCCTCTAGACACATCATCATCACACACCTCATCACACCTCATCATCTACAGCATCACCCTCTACATCATCATCATCATCACACACCTCATCATCATCATCTACAGCATCATCATCTACATCATCATCACCCTCTAGACACACATCATCATCATCATCACACCTCATCATCATCATCTACATCATCATCATCTACATCATCATCACACCTCATCATCATCTACATCATCATCATCTACATCATCATCATCATCTACATCATCATCACCCTCTAGACACATCATCATCACACCTCATCACACATCATCATCACACACCTCAGTTAACACGTAGGCTTTCGCGACCAATATTATTCATAATAAAGGTGTCTTGGGGTTAGATCGCATTTATTATAAATGTGTCGTAACCCTCCACCACCCGACACGGCCAATCAGCAAAAAAAAAAGTGTCACGTTGACAAAAAGACAAAAATAATTCACTACTTTAGCCCCTACACCGGTGTGTTGAAGAGTGAATCCACAACATTTACAGTTTGAGTTGTACTGTGACGTTTCGCTGGTAAATACTTCCAGCATCATCGGGCAATTCGCCAGAATGGTAAAGCCCTCGCTTGCTCCCGGTGTTTTATATAGAGCAGAAGAGTGACGTCATCACACACCTCATCACACACCTCATCATCATCATCACACACCTCATCACCCTCTAGACACATCATCATCATTACACCTCATCACACCTCATCATCATCATCACCATCTACATCATCATCACCCTGTAGACACACATCATCATCACACCTCATCACACACCTCATCATCATCATCTACAGCATCACCCTCTAGACACACATCATCACACACCTCATCACACATCATCATCATCATCACACCTCATCATCATCATCTACAGCATCATCACCCTCTAGTCACATCATCATCACACCTCATCACACACCTCATCATCATCTACAGCATCACCCTCTAGACACACATCATCACACCTCATCACACACCTCATCATCATCATCTACAGCATCATCACCCTCTAGACACACATCATCATTACACCTCATCATCATCTACATCATCATCATCTACAGCATCATCACCCTCTAGACAGATACATCATCATCACACCTCATCATCATCATCTACATTATCATCACCCTCTAGATACATCACACCATCACACACCTCATCATCACCCTCTAGACAGATACATCATCACACCTCATCACACACCTCATCATCATCATCATCTACATCATCATCATCATCATCACCCTCTAGTCAGATACATCATCACACACCTCATCATCATCACACACCTCATCATCATCATCTACCTCATCACACCTCATCATCACACCTCATCATCATCATCTACATCATCATCTACATCATCATCACCCTCTAGACAGATACATCATCACACCTCATCATCACACATCATCACCTCATCATCACACTCATCATCACCCTCTAGTCAGATACAATCCAACACCTCATCATCATCATCACCTCATCATCATCCCTCTAGACACATCATCACACACCTCATCATCACACCTCATCATCATCTACATCATCATCTACATCATCATCACCCTCTAGACAGATACATCATCACACCTCATCATCACACTCATCACACCTCATCATCACACCTCATCATCATCACCCTCTAGTCAGATACATCATCATCACACCTCATCATCATCATCTACACCATCATCACCCTCTAGTCAGATACATCATCATCACACACCTCATCATCACACTCTCATCATCATCACCTCTAGACACATCATCACACCTCATCATCACATCATTCACACCTCATCACACACCTCATCATCATCATCACCCTCTAGACACATCATCACACCTCATCATCTACCTCATCATCATCATCACACCTCATCATCATCATCATCACCCTCTAGACAGATACATCATCACACCTCATCACACACCTCATCATCATCATCATCTACATCATCATCATCAACATCATCTACATCATCACCCTCTAGCCACACACATCATCATCATCTACATCATCATCACCTACATCATCATCTACATCATCATCACCTACATCATCATCTACATCATCATCTACATCATCATCATCTACATCATCACCTACATCATCAACATCTACATCATCACCTACATCATCAACATCGTCATCTAAGTGAGAGAAACAAGTATTTGATCCCCTGCTGATTTTGTACATTTGCCCACTGACAAAGAAATGATCAGTCTATAATTTTAATGGTAGGTTCATTTGAACAGTGAGAGACATAATAAAACAACAAAATCATCCAGAAAAAACGCATGTCAACAATGTTATAAATTGATTTGCATTTTAATGAGGGAAATAAGTATTTGACCCTCTCAATCAGAAAGATTCTGGCTCCCAGCTGTCTTTTATACAGGTAACGAGCTGAGGCTTTTGCCACCAAGTACTAAGTCATGTTTTGTAGAGGGGTCAAATACTTATTTCCCTCATTAAAATGCAAATCAATTTATAACATTTTTGACACGCGTTTTTCTGGATGATTTTGTTGTTTTATATGTCTCTCACTGTTCAAATAAACCTACCATTAAAATTATAGACTGATCATTTCTTTGTCAGTGGGCAAACGTACAAAATCAGCAGGGGATCAAATACTTGTTTCTCTCACTGTACATCATCATCCATCTACACCATCTACATCATTATCAACATCATCAGCATCATCTGCATCAGCATCATCTACATCAGCATCATCATCAGCAGCAGCATCATCAGCAGCAGCAGCATCATCAGCAGCATCATCATCAGCAGCATCATCATCAGCAGCAGCATCATCAGCAGCAGCATCATCAGCAGCATCATCATCAGCAGCAGCATCATCAGCATCATCAGCATCATCAGCAGCAGCATCATCAGCATCATCAGCAGCAGCATCATCATCAGCAGCAGCAGCATCATCATCAGCATCATCAGCATCATCATCAGCAGCAGCATCATCAGCAGCAGCATCATCATCAGCAGCATCATCATCATCAGCAGCAGCAGCATCATCAGCAGCAGCATCATCAGCAGCAGCATCATCAGCAGCAGCAGCATCATCATCATCAGCAGCAGCATCATCAGCAGCATCATCATCATCAGCAGCAGCATCATCAGCAGCAGCATCATCAGCAGCAGAAGGGCTACATAACCCTCTACAAACATCGCCAAGCACCTGTCATGAGTGGGTGAGGGGTGAGTGGGTGAGTGAGTGGGTGAGTGGGTGAGTGAGTGGGTGAGTGGGTGAGTGAGTGAGTGGGTGGGTGAGTGGGTGAGTGAGTGGGTGAGTGAGTGGGTGGGTGAGTGGGTGAGTGGGTGAGTGAGTGAGTGGGTGGGTGATGGGTGAGTGGGTGGGTGAGTGGGTGAGTGAGTGAGTGGGTGAGTGAGTGAGTGGTGAGTGAGTGGGTGAGTGGGTGAGTGGGTGAGTGAGTGAGTGGGTGGGTGAGTGGGTGAGTGGGTGGGTGAGGGGTGAGTGAGTGAGTGGGTGAGTGAGGAGTGAGTGGGTGAGTGAGTGGGTGAGTGAGTGGGTGAGTGGGTGAGTGAGTGAGTGGGTGGGTGGGTGAGTGAGTGGGTGAGAGTGAGTGGGTGAGTGGGTGAGTGAGCGGGTGAGTGAGCGGGTGAGTGAGCGGGTGAGTGAGTGGGTGAGTGAGTGGGTGAGTGAGCGGGTGAGTGAGTGGGTGAGTGAGTGGGTGAGTGAATGTGAGCGGGGAGCGGGTGAGTGAGCGCGGTGAGGGAGCGGGGATGTGAGGGGTGAGCAGGTGAGTGAGTGAGCGAGATGGTGAGCAAGTGAGTGAGCGGGAGGGCGAGTGGGGTGAGTGACTGGTTGAGCGCTGACTGAGTGAGCGGGTGAGCAACATGGCGAGCGGGTGAGCGAGCGAGTTGGTGAGCGAGCGGTTGAGCGAGCTGGTGAGCGAGCTGGTGAGCGAGCTGGTGAGCGAGCTGGTGAGCGAGCTGGTGAGCGAGCTGGTGAGCAGGTGAGTGAGCGGGTGGGTGAGGGGGTTGGTGAGCGGGCTGGCGAGTTGGTTGGTGAGCGAGTTGGTGAGCGGGTGGGTGAGGGGGTTGGTGAGCAAGTTGGTGAGCGAGTTGGTGAGCGAGTTGGTAAGCGAGTTGGTGAGTGAGTTGGTGAGCGAGTTGGTGAGCGGGTTGGCTAGCGAGTTGGTGAGCGAGTTGGTGAGCGAGTTGGTGAGCGAGTTGGTGAACGGGTTGGTGAGCGGAGTGAGCGGGTTGGTGAGCGGGATGGTGAGCGGGTTGGTGAGCGGGTTGGTGAGCGAGCTGGTGAGTGGGCTGGTGAGCGGGTTGGTGAGCGGGATGGTGAGCGGGCTGATGAGCGGGATGGTGAGCAGGTTGGTGAGCGAGTTGGTGAGCGAGTTGGTGAGCGGTTGGTGAGCGAGTTGGTGAGCGAGTTGGTGAGCGGGTTGGTGAGCGAGTTGGTGAGTGAGTTGGTGAGCGGGTTGGTGAGCGGGTGAGTGAGCGAGTTGGTGAGCGAGTGAGCGTGCGGGTGTGAGCGGGTGAGCAGGTGAGTGAGTGAGCGGTGAGTGAGCAGGTGAGGGAGCGGTTAAGCAGGTGAGTGAGTGAGCGGGTGAGTGAGCGGGTGGGCGAGCGGTTGAGTGACTGGGTGAGTGAGCGGGTGACTGAGCGAGTGACTGAGCGAGTTGGTGAGCGAGTTGGTGAGTTTGTTGGTGAATGGGTTTGGTGAGTGAGTTGATGAGTTGGTGAACAAGTTGGTGAGTGTGTTGGTGAACGAGTTGGTGAGCGGGTTGGTGAGTGAGCTGGAGTGAGTTGGTGAGCGAGTTGGTGAGTGAGTTGGTGAGCGAGTTGGCGAGCGAGTTGGTGAGCGAGTTGGCGAGCGAGTTGGTGAGCGAATGAGCGTGCGGGTGAGCGGGTGGGTGAGCGGGTGGGTGAGCGAGTGACTGAGCGAGTTGGTGAGCGAGTTGGTGAGCGAGATGGTGAGTGGGTTGGTGAGCGAGCTGGTGAGCGGGTTGGTGAACGGGTTGGTGAGTGGGTGAGTAAGTGAGTGGGTGAGTGAGTGGGTGAGTGAGTGAGTGAGTGGGTGAGTGGGTGGGTGAGTTGATGGGTGAGTGGGTGGGTGGGTGAGTGAGTGAGTGAGTGGGTGGGTGGGTGAGTGGTGAGTGAGTGAGTGAGTGAGTGGGTGAGTGAGTGGGTGAGTGAGTGGGTGAGTGGGTGGGTGAGTGTGTGAGTGAGTGGGTGGGTGTGTGAGTGAGTGGGTGAGTGAGTGGTGAGTGAGTGAGTGGGTTGTGGGTGAGTGATGGGTGAGTGAGTGGGTGAGTGAGTGGGTGAGTGAGTGGGTGAATGGGTGAGTGAGTGAGTGGGTTGGTGAGTGGTTGGTGAGCGAGTGACTGAGCGGTTTGGTGAGCGGGTTGGTGAGCGAGAGCGCGCTCACCACTTGACGCTGAGCACGGCGGTGCCGTGGTCGTGCAGCTCATCCTCGTAGAGCAACACCTCGTCAAAAAAGAGGATCCGCTCCCTGGCACGCAGGCGAGCGGAGTCCACTCGCTCGTTCCGTGGAGACGACCTTCAGGCTGAGCGCGTGGTGGACACTCACTCAGTCACTCAGTCAGTCACTCACTCAGTCAGTCACTCAGTCAGTCACTCAGTCACTCACTCAGTCACTCACTCATCACTCAGTCAGTCACTCAGTCACTCAGTCAGTCAGTCAGTCACTCAGTCAGTCACTCAGTCACTCACTCAGTCACTCACTCACTCACTCAACCACTCACTCACTCAGTCAGTCAGTCAGTCACTCAGTCAGTCACTCAGTCACTCAGTCACTCAGTCAGTCACTCAGTCAGTCACTCAGTCACTCACTCAGTCACTCACTCAGTCACTCAGTCAGTCAGTCAGTCACTCAGTCAGTCAGTCAGTCACTCACCCAGTCACTCAGTCAGTGAGTCAGTCAGTCAGTCAGTCACTCAGCCAGTCACTCCCAGTCACTCACCCGTCACTCAGTCAGTGAGTCACCTACTCACTGACTCACCCACTCACTCACTCACCCACTCGCTCACCCACACGCTCGTCCGTGGAGACGAACCTGCAGGCGGAGCGGCGTGGGGACACTCACTCAGTCACTCACTCAGTCAGTCACTCAGTCACTCAGTCAGTCACTCACTCAGTCACTCACTCAGTCAGGTCAGTCACAGTCACTCAGTCAGTCAGTCAGTCAGTCAGTCACTCAGTCAGTCAGTCAGTCAGTCACTCCGTCAGTCAGTCAGTCACTCAGTCAGTCAGTCAGTCAGTCAGTCACTCAGTCAGTCAGTCACTCAGTCAGTCAGTCAGTCACTCAGTCAGTCAGTCACTCAGTCACTCAGTCAGTCACTCAGTCAGTCAGTCACTCAGTCAGTCACTCAGTCAGTCACTCAGTCAGTCACTCAGTCAGTCACTCAGTCAGTCACTCAGTCAGTCACTTAGTCACTCAGTCAGTCACTCAGTCAGTCACTCAGTCAGTCAGGTCAGTCACTCAGTCAGTCAGTCAGTCACTCAGTCACTCACTCAGTCACTCACTCAGTCAGTCACTCAGTCAGTCAGTCACTCAGTCAGTCAGTCACTCAGTCAGTAACTCAGTCAGTCACTCAGTCAGTCAGTCACTCACTCAGTCAGTCAGTCAGTCAGTCACTCACTCAGTCAGTCAGTCACTCAGTCAGTCACTCAGTCATCACTCACTCAGTCACTCAGTCAGTCAGTCACTCAGTCAGTCACTCAGTCAGTCAGTCAGTCAGTCAGTCACTCAGTCACTCAGTCAGTCACGTCACTCAGTCAGTCAGTCACTCAGTCAGTCATCACTCAGTCAGTCACTCCAGTCAGTCACTAAGTCAGTCACTCATTCAGTCATTCAGTCAGTCAGTCAGTCACTCAGTCAGTCAGTCACTCAGTCACTCACTCAGTCAGTCACTCAGTCAGTCAGTCACTCACTCAGTCATCACTCACTCAGTCAGTCACTCACTCAGTCACTCAGTCAGTTCACTCAGTCAGTCAGTCAGTCAGTCACTCAGTCACTCAGTCAGTCATCAGTCAGTCAGTCACTCAGTCAGTCACTCAGTCAGTCAGTCACTCAGTCAGTCAGTCACTCAGTCACTCAGTCAGTCAGTCAGTCACTCAGTCAATCAGTCACTCAGTCAGCCCACTCACTCAGTCAGTCACTCACTCAGTCAGTCAGTCAGTCACTCAGTCAGTCACTCACTGACTCAGTCAGTCACTCAGTCAGTCACTCAGTCAGTCAGTCAGTCACTCAGTCAGTCACTCAGTCAATCACTCAGTCACTCAGTCAGTCAGTCACTCAGTCAGTCACTCAGTCAGTCAGTCACTCAGTCAGTCAGTCACTCAGTCACTCAGTCGCTCAGTCACTCAGTCAGTCACTCAGTCAGTCACTCAGTCACTCAGTCAGTCACTCAGTCACTCAGTCAGTCACTCAGTCACTCACTCACTCACTCACTCAGTCAGTCACTCACTCAGTCAGTCACTCAGTCAGTCACTCAGTCAGTCACTCAGTCAGTCATTCAGTCAGTCAGTCAGTCACTCAGTCAGTCAGTCAGTCACTCACTCCTCAGTCACTCACTCAGTCAGTCAGTCACTCCTCAGTCAGTCAGTCAGTCACTCAGTCAGTCACTCAGTCAGTCAGTCAGTCACTCAGTCAGTCACTCAGTCAGTCAGTCAGTCACTCAGTCAGTCACTCAGTCACTCAGTCACTCACTCACCCAGTCACTCACCCAGTCACTCAGTCAGTGAGTCACCTACTCACTGACTCACCCACTCACTCACTCACCCACTCGCTCACCCACACGCTCGTCCGTGGAGACGACCTGCAGGCGGAGCGGCGTGGGGGACACTCACTCAGTCACTCACTCAGTCACTCACTCAGTCACTCACTCAGTCAGTCAGTCACTCAGTCAGTCAGTCAGTCACTCAGTCAGTCAGTCAGTCACTCAGTCAGTCAGTCAGTCACTCAGTCACTCAGTCACTCAGTCACTCACTCAATCAGTCACTCACTCAGTCAGTCACTCAGTCAGTCACTCAGTCAGTCACTCAGTCACTCAGTCAGTCACTCAGTCAGTCACTCAGTCAGTCACTCAGTCAGTCACTCAGTCAGTCACTCAGTCACTCAGTCAGTCACTCAGTCACTCAGTCAGTCAGTCAGTCACTCAGTCAGTCAGTCACTCAGTCAGTCAGTCAGTCAGTCACTCAGTCACTCAGTCACTCACTCAGTCACTCAGTCACTCACTCAGTCACTCAGTCACTCACTCAGTCACTCAGTCAGTCAGTCAGTCAGTCACTCAGTCACTCAGTCAGTCACTCAGTCAGTCACTCAGTCACTCAGTCAGTCAGTCACTCAGTCAGTCAGTCACTCAGTCACTCACTCAGTCAGTCAGTCACTCAGTCACTCAGTCAGTCACTCAGTCAGTCAGTCAGTCAGTCACTCAGTCAGTCAGTCACTCAGTCACTCAGTCAGTCACTCAGTCAGTCACTCAGTCAGTCACTCAGTCAGTCACTCATCAGTCAGTCAGTCAGTCACTCAGTCACTCAGTCAGTCAGTCACTCAGTCAGTCAGTCAGTCAGTCAGTCACTCAGTCACTCAGTCAGTCAGTCAGTCACTCAGTCAGTCAGTCACTCACTCAGTCAGTCACTCACTCAGTCAGTCACTCAGTCAGTCAGTCACTCAGTCACTCAGTCACTCAGTCAGTCAGTCACTCAGTCAGTCAGTCAGTCACTCAGTCAGTCACTCAGTCAGTCAGTCACTCAGTCAGTCCTCAGTCAGTCAGTCACTCAGTCACTCAGTCACTCACTCAGTCAGTCACTCAGTCAGTCAGTCACTCAGTCAGTCAGTCAGTCACTCACTCAGTCAGTCACTCAGTCAGTCACTCAGTCAGTCACTCAGTCAGTCAGTCAGTCACTCAGTCAGTCACTCAGTCACTCACTCAGTCAGTCACTCAGTCACTCAGTCATCAGTCACTCAGTCAGTCACTCAGTCACTC